AAGAACTAGACTCTTTGTACTGAACCAAAAAATGGCGTTTGCAAAATAAATTATCATTAACTAATATTAACAATTCACAGTCTGTTCCAAAACAAGACGGGACTCAACCAAAAAGTATTTTTTGGTTGTGCTTGGCTGTCGGAGGAATTATTCTGATCGGATTAATTGGCTATCTAGTTGGAAGAAGCAACCGAAGAAGAAAAATTTAATTACTGTGTTCTTAAATAATAAAATTCAACTCTGCTATATTAATATGAAAGAGTTATGACAATGAATAGAAGAGAATAATTTGCTCGTTCGGGATTTTACTACCGAAAAAGAAAAATGAAGTGGGACAATTAACCAAGAACCTAACTTTTTCTCGGATACTGAACTAATGTTAATACATCAGGATATAATTCTTTTAAAAGTGCTTACTGATAGTCAGGCAAATTTTTTAGCCAAAACTTACCAACTAGAATACCAAACCGTTTGCAAAAAAATTTTTCAAGACAACAAAAATATCGTACTTGTCAGCGAAAAGCAATGAACAAAGGATAATAATACTTCATCTAAAAAAGGGGAAAATGCCATTGTTTTATTTAAGGATAGAGAAAGTATTGAAAAAAATCTAGTAAATTGATTACAAGGACTGAATACTTAAATTATATGAAATATTTATGCATTGACCCCTCGGGAACTGGGACAACCGGCATATTTTTTTTCACCGACGATAAATCAGAATATAAACTTTCCGAATATAAGAATGTTAATTGGGAAGAACATTTGAATTTTATTGTTGAAATCGTAAAAGAAAAACAACCCGATATCATTATTTATGAGAACACTACCTATATTTATGGCCGTCAACACCAAGGAACAGTTGGCTTATATAAACTAATCGGTGGTATCGTGGCTTTGAAATATGTCTTTGATTTTATTAAGGAAATAAATTCTATAGCCGTTAACCAAGTTAAACCTTTTAAGGATAAACTTTTTACTGGGCAAGAGCAATTAGAGAACCTAACCTGCAAGGCAGGACGGGGTAAGGGTTGAAAATATAAGCGACAAAAAATTAGTTTACATCAATTAGACGCTTTGGTAGTTTATCATCTGTGAAGCGGTGGTAGTTTAGAGAGCAAAAAGAGCATTAAGAAGAAAATAACTCAGTTAAAATTAAAAAAAAGATTAGGTATTAGGCAAAAAGAGGAATTGGCGAGATTAGAAAAATTTTTAGCAGAAAGGAGCGAATAATTATTAAGAAACAATTATTTTATAACCGGAGGATGAATTCTCACTACTAATCAGGAGCATTTCAAGGCTTTTTGCTACAGTGTAAATAAGCTTGAATCTTATTAATTATTGTTACCAACAGTCATTGAATTTAATGATTACTTCTCCACTTTATCTTTTCGGCGATTTCATTCAGTCAGAAATAAATTCTTATTTTTTCTAACGATGCTTTCAGTTTCGCTTTGCTCCTAATTGATAACCATTTATTTTTCAAGTTGGCATAAATTATTCACATTCAGCATCAAATCCTTTGGTAAATGCTTCGATACCCAATACTTCATCTATATTGGGAAAATAAATCTCATCACCTTCTCAAATTTCATGCTTTTTTAACTTATCGGCACTAACTCCCGCTACTCCTCATTTGGCAAATCAATTAATTGGAATGCTTAATTCTCGTCCGTCGTCTAATTGAGCGGTTAATTTTTCTAAATGAACAGCCAAATTAATTATCTTAACCTTCTTTTTTTTGG